TCCGCAGGGTGTTCTTGAGAGCAGAGGGCGTCCTTTGTCCAAGCAAACCCTCGTCCCGGTGCTACGACCTGGAAATCGGAGCTGGCGGCTCACGGATCCCCTCTCTCTCCTGCGCGAGCAGTGTCTGTCCCAAAGCTGGGCACTCAGTTCTGCAGGAAGCGTTCCCGTGGCCTGAGGCGGTTGGAGGAGGGGAGGGACTGCTGGAGTTCCGGGGTAAATGCCCGCAGCTGGGGTCAGCGGGGGCGGAGCCAGGGGGCTCGTCATCGTCCAGGTCGGATGGGATTGGTTGGCCCTGGGCTCCAGAAGAGCAGGGGCCGGCCAGGGGGGACGTGTGAGGAGGACTCCCGAGGAGGGCTTGCTTCAGAGTCCGCCCAATCCCTTCCAGATCCGTCCACCGGCCCCTCTCCCTGACTCCGCCCCCATCGTCCAGCAGCCGCCTGGCAGCCATCTTCCCTGTCCGCTCGACCCTCTCCCTTCCTTGCAGCCAGGAAGTGCTTCACCTGAGTTGTTTCTGGGGTCTTCTCAGGGTCAACCGGAAGGGTATTCTTCCGGGGGACCAATCAATGGATTTCTGGGAAGGCCATCCCAGCGCGAGTTCTCCCCAACTAGGGAGCTTGGAAGAGAAGAAGAAAGGGGAGCCACGTGCACGCCGGACCCGGGGGGACTCTCTGGCTTGAGTCCCAGCCCGCTTGCCGACCAGGCGGGGCTCTGAGTTCCTTTCCTCGGAGCCCGGAGCCGGAGCCGGAGCCGGAGCCTCGAGGGAGGAGTCCTTTCACTAGGCAATCGCTTGCCCTTTGAGAACTTCGGAGGGGAGTTTGGGGGTGAGCTCAGGCAGACTTTACGGGGATTTGTGAACGTGCCTCTGCGAATGTCTGTGTTACATAGGAGTTTGTGTGTTTGTGTGTCTGTGTGTGTGGGCCGGTGGGGCGGGGGGGCGTGCCTGAGGGCGTGCGCGGGCGCTCGCATCTGTGTGCCTTTTGCGGGGTTGGCGCAGCTTCCTTCTCCTCTGGAAATCCACCCCCTCCCCTCTTGCCGGCTTTCCTCTCCTCGTGTGTGTTCTGCCAAACCTGATGGAAACAGAACAGCGCCCCCACGTGCTTCCAAGTTGTGGAGCCAACAGACGTAAGAAATGATCACACCCCAAAATCAAGCACGTTTCGAGATCGATTTATTACACTCAAGTTCCAATAGGATCATGGGCACTGCCGTTTCCCCCCTCGAATGAAGAGTCACGGTCATCTTTCTCTTCGTGGCAGGCTTGGAAAGCCAGTGTGGGCTTCACGATTTCGGCGCATCCCGTCTGAAAGCGCCATTCGATGCGAGACCCTTGGTCTGTAGGGAGATGTCCTTGATCGCCTCTCCTAAGGTTACCACAGCCCTGGTCGCCAAAACCGCCCTGAAAATCATAAAACACCTAGAGGGACTAGAAGCATTCAGAGTCGACTGACCGGGGTGGGCCATGGAATCGAGCGGAAAAAGCCCATCCTCTGGATCACTGAGGGTCAGTGCCCTGGCCGGGGTGGGTCCCCCTCTCAGTCTCCACGCAACCCCGAAGGGCACGGGGGAGGTCACACCCCACCCTTGGCTGTATTGTGGAGACAGCTGCTGGCCACTCTGGCCTTTGGCGTCTTCCTGAACAGACCCGTTCGTGGCTCTCAAGCACATCTCTCAGAGTGCGAGAGCCGGGTGGGATGAACGGGAAGCCTGGGATGAAGGAGTCGAGGAACTACACTCCATTTCAGCAGGTTGTCCCATTCTGGGCTCCCCGCCAGCAACGGGGGAGTGTTCCAGCGGCTCCACGTCCTGCCCGGCCTTTGGACAGGTCCATCGTGCTGTTCTCCTGGAGCCGTTCTCATGGCGGCAAGGTGTGCTAACGCCCCCCTCCCCCCACCCGGAGAGCTCCTGCGCCTTCCGCTCCCGCTCCCGGGCGTGATGCGGGCGGAGCACGCTTTCAGGTGCTTTGGGAGACCCTCTCTGGGGAGGCGTGCGCTCCAGGCTTTGGCGTTCTTTCTTCTAGGGTCTTGGGTGTGGTTCCTCGCAGAGGACCCTGACCAGATGTGCCCTCTTCTGGATGTCAGAGTCCTTCGCGGCAGGGGGGATTGGCAGCTCTTTTCTCCCCACCCTCCCGGTGCTCTCTTCCGCCTGTCCGGAGCCCCTGTGGCAGAGCCCGGGTCTGGGGGAGAGGTCCCTGCTGGCCTCCGCCCCCGCCTGCAGTGCCAGCCGCCAGGGCGATGTTTCCGGCAGAGAGTGATCCCGCCTCAGGGAGACACCCTAGAAGGAGCAGGCGTCCGCGGCTCCCGAACGGCGTGCGCCAATTCTTGCGCGTGGGGTGGGCGCTCGCGGCCGATCAATCCCCTCGGAAGAGACGCCTGGGGGCCTTGGCGGGTGGCCTGCGACGGGGCGCCGCGCGGCAGCTTCTGGGCCGCGGGCTGGGACTCGGGGAGGGAGGCAGAGGTCTGAGCTCCGAGCTGGGCGGGAGCCCCAGGCCGCGGAGGTCCAGGCTGAACTTGGCCGGCTGAGGGCGCAGCCCCGCCCTGGGCTCGGGCGGGAGCCCGCAGCCCTGGGTTCAGGGGCCCAGGGGAGAGCTTGGACGAGAAGTGAGATCCTCTCAGGAGGTGCTGAAGCCCGGGACTATATTGCCCCAGGGTCCTGCTTGGGGCTGGTGTCCTCCTGGCTTTCCTGGTGGTATGGTGGTGGTGGCGCTCCCGTGTGCTCCGCTGTGTTGGTGCAAAGGGAT